AAGTGTCACAGATGGGACATTGCTCTGATCATATGCAAATCTGAAAGTCAGCCCGCTAGTTTGCCACACCTCAGTATGATCCTGTGGCTCAGTTGGTTCTGAAAATAGCCTTGCCTGGGCCCGGGGTCCTCATTAGATCTCTGGCTTATGCCCATTTGCTGCCTCAGAAGAACTAGGCAGTGGAGGCTGCTCTCTTGTGTGCAAGCTAGTCCTCTGTGCCTGCCAAAGTCGCTGGTGACTAGAGGGAATTTTGAAGATCTTGGGACTCTCTTTGAAGCCAGTAAGTGTTTAATCTTGATGTGTTGGCTGGCGTTCCTCCTTAGCAAAGCCAGCTCTTGCCTATGGTGTTCAGAGAGCTGCCGCTGAGTGTGGAATGGGGCTGCCTTTGTCCCTACCATATGGAAGCTGTGAGACATAAGTGGAGGGGCTATCTACATAACACGCCGTTTTCGTTCTATTCTGTTTGACACTTATCTTGAAAAGTTCAATCTAACTGAATTGTGGCATGTACCTTTTCTTTGTCACCCCCAGGCGAACCCACCCTGCCTGTTGTCCACCGTTCAGTACATTAGTAGCTTCTATGCTAACTGCTTATCTGGAGAAGAATCTTACTGGTGGATGCAGTTCACCGCAGCAGTTGAATTCATTAAAACCATCGATGATCGCAAGTGACCCAAAAGAGCACCTTTGTAGACAGACTGTTAGCAGCAAAGAGCCTGTAAGAATGTATATCCACTATTTCAAAGGCTAAAGAAGACACACTTTCCTTGTATAATATTGTACAGAGTGGAAGCATCTAAAAACCTTTACTAATCAGATTAATTAATTTAACAACGTTTTCTTTCTCTGTTTTGGTTGCATCTTTCCCTCCCACCTGATAGAGATTAGCAAGGGAAAAAGGGACCACACTTTTCAGGTATTTGTGGGTTCTCAAAATGGTTTAGGAATCTGTTTGCTGCCACCGCCCCTTTGACACAGACACTATTTTCTCCCTAGACTTCTGTTAATGTAAATTCATTCATTTTCTTTGTTTCTAACCAAAAAGATCATGGCAAGCACTTTTCAGAGCCTTTCTAGCTAATACACTTTTTTTAAGAGAACACCAGTTGCACTGAAAGTTTGTAGCAGTTGACCTAGTTATAAATTGTACTTCACCTATGGTAAAATGAAAATCTGAGGACAATGTAAATATATTATATACTATTTAATAAACTTCAGTCATCTTTGGACTCATTATCCTTTCAACCAGCAAAGAAGAAGTTTCTCTTTCCTACAGCAGGTTATAACATACTGTATAGGGTAATGAGAATGACTTCCTTAATAGGACAAGTTTAAAAAGGGTGAACCTAAGTATTTATTAAAATTTAATAAAGTTTACAGAACTTTCTGAAACTGGAATTTACAATTCACAGGGCTCTCACTAGAAAATTTTTAAAATTTTTGGCTCTGGAATTAGAGCGTTTTAAATAGTTTGGATTTATAGAGGAGAGGGACTGTAAATTTCAATAGATAAGTTCTAATATAAAAAGGAATAGTACATACCTTATTGTAATATTTTCTTCTGAAATACTGTGTATACTGTACAAACCCCAAACAGAATACCTTACAGAACCTTAAACTGTAATATATATTTTGATTATTCACATTAAATACACATGCCAGGGGTTTCAGTGAATGTTTTTTACTATGTGTTCTTTGTATTGTCGTCTCTAGTAGTACAGGTTTTACTATTCATATAAAATCTTTTAAAATGCCACATTGTCCTTTATAAAACCCATCATGAAATCAGTTCAGGGAGTCTTTGCAGATTTGTCTCTTCCCTTTCCCTTTCCAAATTGACAATTAGGCAAAGATCAGATAGACTGAAATAGTAGAGTTCCTATAGATGGCCCAAGCCATTGCTTATGCACATGAGTGGGCACTGCCGTTTTCACTGTACATCCATCTAAAAAAGGATTTTCATCCATTTCTTTTGCCAGAGGCACGCTGCCAGCATTACTCCTTGCTCTTGCTTCCTCCTCCAGTGCACATCACTTTGCTGGCAGTGAGGTGAGCCAGATTTGCTGGCTTTGAGGGGTAAAAGAAATGACACGATCTGCATCCCTTCTTTAGGCAGAAGAGTAGATGATGGGTTGGATATCTTTGGTACTTGAAAAGGCCAACACGCCACATGCTAGAAGCTATGCGAGCTGTTAAAAAAGGGAGTCTCTAAAAATCTAAGTAACTACTATGTCTGAGTCATTAACTGAAATTAGAACAATCTATGTACAGTATTAAGTGCTTGAGATGTGATTGTATTACCCGTCTAGGCATAATTCAGTGAAAGACACTTGTTTTCAAGAACTTAATAATGTGTAATTCAATATATCATTTTTATCATGTTAAATAAATCATGGGGAATCAAGTGGAGTGGGGTTTTTTAAGTTTTGTTTATAGTCTTTCTCCTCTATTATAGACTTGCAGGGTACAGCAATACTTTCTAGTAGCAATGGGGAGTTGCTGTAGTTTACCTTACTGTGATCTTGAGTCTGAATGGCACTGTAATACTCTAGTTGTGTAGCCGTCATGTTTTTTTGGTGCTAGTATATTGCATTCATAGCCCTGACCAATAACATTCAGCAGTGAAGCAGAATACTGCCCTTCAGGAGATAGCTAGAATTACATTTGAAAGCAGTGCAAATGTATTATACCACGATTCAGAAGGATTCTGTTGTCAAATGATCACCGAGAATTTGCTGTGTTAATATCAAAGTACTGACATCCCCTTCATTCTGCAATTTTCGGTGTTAGTGACTGAGAGTATTTGGTCTCTAAAACCTGTCGTATTCTAAACTATTTTCTTACATGTATCATTCAGCACACAGCTCTCTAAAGGGGAGCAGATTGAGTAGTCAGTGGTTATCCTGCAACTGACCTTTTTATTATGAGCAGTCTGGATACAAAGGAGTTGATCAGGTCTTCAGGATTTATTCTCTTTACTGGAAGGTTTTTCACCTGGCAAAAACCATTTTCTTTACATTTGTATCACTTCACTGCTTTTCTGTATCAAAAAGCTACTGAAGAACTTGAACAATTTTTTAAATAAAGTTCTATAAATATTTGCCTTTTTAAAATAAGCCCCAATATAGATGAGACTCTTCACAGCAGGATGGTCCATTGCTTCTTTTTTAACCTGCTATAAAAGCCTTTTATACGATGTAATAAATGTAGTAAAAGAAATAGGCTTTCCAAAGAATTAGGAATCGTATTGTAATGTGCGTGTCTCTTTGTTTTCTCCTAGTGTCCTGATTTTGTTTTGAAATGTTAAATTATGTGTACAGGAAGATGACCTTAAGTTTTCTGTTGTGCAATAAGTAAGAAAGTAAAGTCGGGAAGCACATTAAGGACCAAACAGTAAAAACTGTTTTGCCAAAAGTCTCCAGCCAGCCATGCATGCACATCGCATTGCATCAGTACTCCTGTATCGAGTGCGGCTGAAGTAATTCTGATGGTGAACTGGAAAATGTTCTGGGCGGTGTGTGTGGAGGGGTGGGGTGGGGTGTTAATAGTGATCACATATGCAGACTCAAGGCCTGGTTATTGAAGTCAAGGCAGCTGTCTGCATGAGTAAGGAGTACTCACCTGTCTGATTTGTATATGATTGGGCCCATACATGTTACAAAGGCATTGTTTTCCTCTGCTGGGATGGGGAGCAGGAGGGAAGAGGTTCGGTTCTTTCATTGAGGGGGGGGAAATCCCCTTTTGCTTCTAGCCCTGAATTTTCTTTTTTTAAAGCTTGTTCTTCAAGAAAAATCGCAATGTATGGCCTGGTCTTGTGCTACCAAATATTGAATGTAACTGCCATGAATTATAGGAAGAAGTCACACACACAGTCACCTTTACTGTAGGTGAGTCTGTGGTGAGCACCATGTGTTGGATCAGATGGTTTATTTGAAAATGTTCGTCTCAAGCCAAATTCTAGCAGAAATTTGCAATTTCATTGCCATGTTAATAATGCTGAATAGTTTTTTGAGGGACATTAGTAGGCTAAGAAAGGGGAAGCAGTCAAGAGCAGTCCTCAGAGCTGCATGAAAGTGAAGCATATTTGTCTAACGTCTAATAATTGATGTGGCCAAGCTCATTATATGTATTAGCTGCCTTAGGCTAGCTATTTGGCAGGAGACCTGGAGCAGCAGAACATAGTGGGCTGTAGGAAGAGGGAGGTAGTCCTTGATTTGGGTAACAGCTGATAGCTTGGTTGAGCCTGTACTACTGGAGAATTAATCTCTGCGGAGTTACTATTGTGTGTTCTGTACCTTTAATTGTGCTTCACCTCTATTTAAAAGCTTTGTACTGCCTCTTTCAAACTGGTAAAGCCTTTAAAAATTTAAATTAATGAGCTTGCACAATCTTGTATACAGGAAACCCATCTTGTCTCTACTGTGATTATTAATGTATTATATCATTCTGTAAAAACTGATTAAAAAGGAGAACAGTTTGATTGTGACCCGGTTTCATTTCTCTGCATTGTAACATTCATGTACTGTTCTATGTACTCAACAATGGCAACGAAGCCTGCAGTGCAAGCTTATTTTATTGTAATATAGACGACTTTGTTTTCACTAATTTTTGCACTTTTGTTTTCAATTCTGCACTGTTCTGTCCTGATACATCCACAGACTCCTCCCCTGCGAACATGTGTACAGCTCAATAGATGTGGCGAGGGAAGGGACAGAGAGGAAACGAGATGCCAGTGACAGGCTAAGGAGCTTTTCACTTCTGGGGCATTGGTAACTAGCAGTGGCAGGGACCGAGGGGTCAGTCAGTGGCATGTGTAAAATGAGCGTAGGGACATGCACTGCCTTGTGCTGAACAGATCCCTGCATTCTGCACAGGCCGAGCATAGAATTGTGTGCCAGGTCTCGCTAAGCCCAGCATCGCTACTGAAGCTAATTGGCCCTGTTGCCAGTGTCAACATGGAGCAAAGGATCAGCTACGTTGGTAGTGAAGTAATGTCTAGCCCTGTGCAAGCAATGACTAGTGCAGAGTGCTACAGCTGGGCAGTCAGAGGATTTCATTCCCCATGGCTGTCGAGTCCATGAGCACTCAAGTCACTCAAGGTTTTTCTTCCCTTTTTAAAAATGTCTCCCATTGAACAGGTAAGCCCATAACATGGTTCTGATTAAGATGGTCTGTCTAGTCATGCAGCAGGATGTTTAACAAGTTACTAGTAGATTAACTCCATTCAACGTGATCTGGCAGTTAAAGGATAGACTTTTCCAGGCTCTGTCCTCCCTTTACTTTGGCTAGTAGGTTTCTGCAAAATATTTTATTCTAATAGCAGATTTTTGTACAGCAAGAATCTTGCAGCTCCTAGGGAGCGTGAGACATGGCTGTGGGTTGCAGCTGAAAATGTTCACGCGGTTCTGATTGGGGATGGGCAGCAGTTCAGTCCCCTCCTGTGACCTGTCTGGTCCACTGTTTGAACAGCATCTGTCTTATCTGGATGTAAAAGTTCAGGAATATTTGTAGTCCATCTGGCCTCATTCCACTTCCTGATCTGTTCGAAAGCAGCACTATGTAAAATTAAGCTGTCATGCGCCATGTATATTTTTAACTGAAAAGCTGCTTTCAACATGCACAAACACGTTCTGGCGAGGAGAGAACCATCTGTGTGTCAGGCCATTACAGAAAATACCCTTCCCCAGCAATAGAATTTTAACTTCAAAAGTGAGGCCCTTTGCTTAAATGGGCTTCTGGAAAGACCATTCAGCAGCAGTTAATTTTGTTCACGTATTGTCCACTTACAGCAGCCGGAGTCAGGGATCTGGTTTTATGAAGCCTTTATTAACAAACCCGAAACTCACAACACGGCCGCCTGTCCTAGGGAGCTGGGGGGAGGGTACTTAGCCTGCTCTTCCCCACCATTTCTCATATCAGGCTCTTTTGCCAGAGAACAGCGGTGGAGGAAGCAGACGCAGACGGGTGAAGTGATGTGCGCGTGGTCGCTCAGTGACTAGCAGCTGGAAACGGACCCACAACTTGGCTTCTCCCTGCACCTGGGACAGGCTTCCCTCCTCAGTGAAAGGAACCCATCTCCAGGAGAGGCAGTGGCCAGCCTGTTCTAGGGACACGGGGGTGTCAGTATAACCAGGTTTTCGGGGAGGGGATTTTTTTCGCACCCCTGAGCCTAGCGGGAGGGATGGCAATTCCTCAAGCAGAGCAATGGAAAGGAAGTTGGTGCTAGGGATGTAAACTCCCCTTCAACTGGCTAACCCATGTCAAAAGGAACCCATCTCCAGGAGAGGCAGTGGCCAGCCTGTTCTAGGGACACGGGGGTGTCAGTATAACCAGGTTTTCGGGGAGGGGATTTTTTTCGCACCCCTGAGCCTAGCGGGAGGGATGGCAATTCCTCAAGCAGAGCAATGGAAAGGAAGTTGGTGCTAGGGATGTAAACTCCCCTTCAACTGGCTAACCCATGTCACTTTTTAACCCATTGACTGATTACGGGGGGGGGGGGGGCGGCTCCCGCGAGTTTGTGCGCACGTGCTCTGTGGACGGGGGGGGGGGGGGCTACTCCAGCTCCCCTGCCCACTGCTGCCCTGCAGCACTCCCGCCCCCTCCCTCCCCACCGCAGGCAGGGGCTGCCCCAGTGTCCTGCTCAGAACAGCCTCTGCCGGCAGCACCCCCGGGCCCACTGCAGACAGGCTGTGCGGCGGCAGGTGGGGAGCGGCTCCAGCCCTACCTCTTAACTGTGAGCCCCACTGGCTAGTTCACGCTCCTCCCGCCGCAGGCTCTCCCTCACCTGCAGCTCCTCTGGCCGTGGAAGGGTTAACGGCACCCACTGGGGCTGTTCTGCTGGACTTAGGCAGCTGGAGAAACGCCCCCCATGCAGCTCTTCTGGGGTCACGTGTCTGCAAAACCGGCCAGGCCAGACCCTCCTCCGGGGCCGCTGGGCTGGGCTGGTTTCCTGGGGCAGGAGATCTCACCAGGACCAGAGTGACGGGAGAGCAATGGGCTCCCCTGTAGCACTTTGCCCGTTGGGGGTGGGTGGCTGCAGGTGCGTACAAGGCCCTTCCAGCTCCTAGCTGGGTGCCTGGGGGGAGAGCAGGAGCCCGGCCCCTGAGCCCCAGCTGCAAGGGGGCGAGTTGGGAGAACTGTGTGGTGGGGGGAGGGGAGTCTCTGGAGCCCTCTGTCTGATGCTCTGCGGCCAGAGCACCTTCTACTGCAGGCAGGGCTGCGGGCTCTTGGCCTCGGCCTGGCCGAGCAGGTGCAGGTCTTCCAGTGTCACGTGCACCACCTGCAACAGACGACGCACTGTCAGGTCCCGCCCCCAGGGGCTGCTCTTGTTCGGGGCCAGATCCCCACCTGCCCTCTCCACAAGGCTCGGGGGGCTGGAGCCAAGCGTAGCGGAGAGACCCTAGCGTGGGAGCTGCAGGAAGTGGAAGCTTGTCTCTTAACACCCCGGCGCCCAGCCGAGCACCCCGACCTGCCTGGGGCCAAGAGCCTCCAGTGAACGAGGGAGGCTCCGGCCCCCGGGGGCTGGTCCCATTTCAGCCCCTGGCGGCTGAGGGTTTAGCTGGGCAGGGGCAGCGGGGGAGAATCCCCCGAGTCAGGAAGCCCCTTGCTTCCCCCTGTAGCACGGAGGAACCGGCGGGGG